TTCAGATGTTAACCTCTGTGTCCAACTGTCCTCACAGTAGAAGTGACACCATTAAGCAACAAACAGTTGGCAGTGAAAAGGTGTTGGCATGAGGTCTTTAGCTTTTCCACTTGCTCAATGTGCACCTCGACTGTTGAGTAAATAGAAACTGCGTCTCTGAATTCGACGACAACAAATGCCAGTGTGAAGTTTCACAACTGACCCCTTTGAAAGAGAGTTGATCTTCAGAAGTTCCTATATCAAAGAGGCAAAATGCCAACAAAATGTACTTTGATTCAAGCCTTGTGAAATTATATGAGAATGTGATACCTTTCTTTTGCTTCTCGGTGAACCACCGAAGAAAGGCCTTGTGTAATCTCCCATACTTGACCTTGTCTTTCAGGCACTTCAAAACTGCTAGCAGAGGGGAACTGTCTGGAAGCTCAGAGACTATTGTTTCTGCCTTGAGGTGACTCTGGTTTGTGTACTGCATTACAACTGAGAGTGTAGCTGAAAACCAGATCTGCCACGCATTGTTTGTGCTATGTAGAGGCTCCACCTTGAGTAAATCAACATACTTCCCCGACAGAGGAACAAATTCTTGTCTCAACTTGTTTTGAGCAATAAATTTGTAATATGACTTCTTTGTTTGCCCATGGGATCTTTAAGTCTTTCCTTTGACTTTTGTACTTTCTCTGCAATGGCCAGTCTCTCGGTGTACTGCCATGGTTACCATGTTGCTTTAGGGCCACCAATAAAACCATGGCTCCCTTGTGTGTTTGATTAACATTGGCAAAAGGTGGGAAATAGGTTGCACAATTGTTTAGTTCTCGTAAGTGGGATGACATCCATTTCATGTCAGATGGTATCAGTTAAAATTTGAACACAACCTGCTCTCCTATCTCAGTGGTCAATGTCTTCTCTTCAATCTGTTCCATTTCTTCCCTCAGGTGATTTGAGTAAGATTTCATGAGTGGATGATCTTCTTCACAGTTGGCACCAAGGAGTACATTATTATCATCGCAACTTTGTACTCTGTTCAGCAGGTTGAGAAAGCTAACTAAGTATGCAGTGACTGTGTCATCCTTGCCAAATGGCGCACCATCTGCCTCCACTGCCACATACAGTACTCCTCACTCAACCTAACCAAAAGATCACATCCATCACAATATTTTATTTCAATCACTATCTACTTACAAAAGACCTTTATAAGGAGTTCTGTTAGTTTTTGAGGGAAACTTTTCAGTATTTTTAATAGCATCTTCTCACTTAACATAATCCTTTATCAACCCATTAACTAGCCAGGTACTGAGAGGTTCACAATACAACGAAAGAAAGATGGTATTTTACGTGACTTATCCAGGTGCTTGGGATGCAAGAGTTGTGGCAACTTACCTACCATTTCCCTCCAGAGAATAATGGTGATTAACCTTAGAATAGTCTGTCAATCTCAATCCTAAGTGACAGCCACATTAGCAACTAAACATTGGTTGATAGAGAAGAGCAGAAGATGCATTTTACATGTGCATCTTCTTAGCAATCATTGATTGCTTACTTTAGAACAAACGTGAGGGAGTTTTACCTCGCTGTTATTGATACATTTCGTAACCAAACAGATACGCCCTTCATCTGCTTAACACTCTAGAAATTCGAACAGTAAATGTGTATCAACATAATGCTTTAAAGGCTTTTCATCTGCAGTACAAAGGCCCGCTTAAGTGGATCTCTTCTAAAACCATTTTCAATATGCAGGTTGAATGCAACACCAGATATGCTTCCCAACAAAATTTGTGTAAACCTTAAGTGTGTAATAACTCTGGAAAACAAACAGTTGTCTATTCTATTCTATCCCTCTAGACTTATTATAACTTAAAATCTTCAATTTCTCTGAGCAACACTCTGAACATTTGCCTTATAATATCTGCCTTATCATCATTATCATTATCATGATTACTATTTTCTTTTAGTATAGTTCTTTTCTCCCTCGTTCATTTAATTTAAGCAACTCCTGGCTCTTCAGTTGTACTATTTCTCAGTATTCTAAGCAATTTGTATTTTAAATTTGTAATGTATGACAGTGTATTTAGTATGACACATCATGAATAAAAAGATGGTCACCGAGCCATTAGGAACTGAGACCAACAATTTCAAACCATAAATACAACTATCAGTCAGAAAAAGGAAACAAAAATTTTCTTCATACGTAATTTAGGCAGCTATCTACAAAAGTTAGTTAATTAAAAAATTTAAAAAATTGAAATAATTAAGTGAAAAATAACTTTGTAAAAGTGAACAAAGAGAAGTAGATGCTGTGTGCCATACACTGTTAGTCATGTATATGCCCTTTGCAGATTTAAGAGATGCATATAGTTGTACTATTGATAAACAAATTTGATGAAAAGTTTTTGCATCCATGACACAAATTAAGGCCTGCTTAAGTGGATCTCTTCCGAAACCATTTTCAATATGCAAGTAGTATTCACGGATACAACAGATATGCTTCCCAGAAAAATTTATGTGAACCTTAAGTGAGCCATAACTCTAGAAAACAAGTAGTTGTCTATATAGGAACTATATCTTTATGACAAAATCCCTCTAAACTCATTATAACTTAAAATCTTCAATTTCTCTGAGCAACACTCTGAAAATTTGCTTTAATATCTACCTCATCATTATCATCGTTATCATTATCATGATTACTATTTTCTTTAAGTATAGTTCTTTTTTCCCTCATTTGATAAATTTACACAACTTAAGTGAAATGGAAACTAACTTGAAAACTTAGCAGCTAATTTTGTAATGTATGACAGTGTATAAAGTATTACACACCATGTATTTAAAAGAGCTTGATCCAGTAGATAGCAGATTGCCCAAAATTGTAATACTGTAAAGTTTTTTGAAGAAAAGACCATTCCACCGTGTCGAAGGCCTTTTCAAAGTCGAGAAAAAGTAGAAGTCCTGGAATGTTCTTCGCGGCTGTATACTTTATAATGCCATCAATGAGTCGAATATTTTCTCCAATAAATCTACCTTTGAGAAAACCCGTTTGGTCATAGTTAATAATATTTGGGATAACCTGTTTAAATCTCTTGGCAATAGCTTTAGCTGCTATTTTGTAATCGCAGTTTAGTAGTGATATGGGGCGCCAATTTTTGATTAAATTGGGTTCTGCATTTTTTTTTGGTATGAGTTTAATGATCCCTCTACGTTGAGTTACTGAGAGCTGGCCGCAACGGTAGGCGTAGTTTATCGAATTTAAGAAGAGGTCGGAGATATCATTCCAAAAGACTTTATAAAATTCTGCTGGTAAACCGTCTGAGCCCGGAATCTTGTTACATTACATATCCTTAGGTGCTTTTAGACATTCCTCTTTACTTAATAAACCTTAACAGGCTTTTTGGTCAGTTAGGTTTAGTTTTTTCTCCGTTTGCATACCGAAGAAGATGCTGTTTGTCAGTTCATTTTGAGAGCCTTTGCTTGAACTGTAAAGGCGTTTGTAGAAGGTTTCACACTCGTTCAAAATTTCTTTGTCTGTACAAACAAATTGTTCATCATCCAGTTTTAATTCACTTATTGTCCCTTGTTTGTAATGTCGTCTTTCTAGGTTTAGAAAGTATTTTGTGTTCTTTTCACCTTCATTGTGCCATCGGCACTTAGCCCGCAAAATTGTACCTTCTGTTCGGTATTCAATTAGTTTTTCTAATTATAATTTTTTGGAGTCCATAGCGCCCAGGATGCCTTTCTTTTCCTTCTCATCGATATTGCTGGATTCAGCTAAGCGTTGTAAGCTGTTAATTTCTGTTTCAAGCTCCTCTTCATACCGTGATATTTTAGCCTTTTTGACCGTTGAGTATTTTAGAGACTGTTCTCTAATTTTTAGCTTTATCATTTCCCACATAAGGGCATCATCAACGAAACTATCATGTTTGTATTCTTCTTGAGTATTTTTAATCGTAAGACGTATTTGATTTATGTAATCAATTTCTGATAGGAGCAAGGTATTGAAGTTCCAAAAACTCGGGCCCCTCTTATTAGAGTGGGTGGCAATCGTGACCTCTATTAAAGAGTGGTCTGTTTTGTATCCGGTGGCGATATTAGTAGATTTAGGGAAAGGAAAAAATCCAAGAGACATTGAATTTCTGGCCGTTTTCACCGCCACTTATATCTACGATTCTCCGGGTTTAGGACTCGCCATGCGTCCACTAAATCAAATTCATCACAAAATCCTTTTGTTTTAACCGATTCTGTATGTGTCTTAGCTAGACCGCCCTTTTTATCTATGTCCAGGTTCAAAACCAAGTTGAAGTCCCTTCCAATTATTACATCGTCGCACTCGGAATCATTTAAATGGTCGAAAAAATTCAGAAATAAATTTGGATCGTCCTCATTAGGCGCATAGAGAGTGGCTATTGTTACACATTTTTTATCTAATGTGATATCGCAGATGATGAATCTGCTGTTGGGATCCACGTATGTTCGTTGAAGTTGAAAATCAAAGTTGTTATTGAATAGAATGGCAACTCCTCCTTTAGCGCTGGTACAGCAGCTGAAAATTATTTTGTATCCCCATTCAGAAGACCATTAAGGGATCGTGATTTCTGAGCAGTGCACTTCTTGAAGCATGTAAATTGAAAACTTTTTTCCTTCTGAGCCAGTCAAACATTTCTCGTCTTTTGAGTCTGTCCCCGAGTCCCCTCACATTAAGAAAGCCTATTTTAAGATCCGAAAACTTAGCAGAGAAGAGAGCATTAGGAAAAAACCATGCAGAGAAACTAAACTAAAATCATTATGGTTATTATAGCAAAAACATGATGTTTGTGTTTTCAAGCAAGCGGAATAAATACAAAAGAAGGCGACAAAAAGCACACATAAAAAAGTTTCATTGTCAGTTTGAGTCCCAGCAGAGTTGACTGTCATAATCATAATAGGTGGATGGGTCAGCTCATTAGTCCTTGCGATAAATTTGCATAGGTTTTTTTTAAAAAAAATTGTTTTGTTAAGAGAAGAGGGAAAAGGATAAATTACTTTAAGTAGGCTGGGATATTCTTATAATCATATCTTTCGTTATTAATTAAAAGATATCGTCCAACAACCTTCGCGTTTGGATGCCCTTGACTTTCCCTTGCCTTCATCATCGCTTTGATTAATACCTTTCTTTCATTTTGTATCGCTTTCGCGAAATCTTCGGTTAGGTAGGCATCGGGGTAATTGTTTGAATGCTTTATCTTACCTCTGTTGCTCCAAATTTCGTTCCTGTCTTCACGGCTGATGAAACGGGCGATGATGGGTCTGCATCTATTCTGGATTTTCTTACCCACTCTGTGAACTGCATCGAATTTTATGTGCGACGCGTCTATGCCCATTTCGTTTTGAATTACGCCACGAATCAGAGCTTTACAATCCTCGCCTTCCTGCTCTGCAATATTGTTAAAACGTAAGTTTTCTCGACGGGTGTATTGTTCAAGCTTAATATTTTCTTCTACTGCAGTTTCCAATTTCTTTTCCAACTGTGCTACTCTCATGCTGAGATCTTCCAGACCTTCTTTCATTTCCTCCGTGTTTCTCTTTGAATCTTCCCTCAACGTGTCCACCTCGTCTTGTGTAAATCTTACGCTTTCTTTTAGCGATTTTACTTCACTTTTCATTTCTTCTATCTCATGTTTGAGTTCTTGTCTAAGTTTTTCGAAGTCGGCGCGTAAGCTGGCGAATCCCGCTTCCAAAGCTTTGATCAAGGCGTCGATAGAGCTTCTAATGTCTTCGTGGTCTCCTTGTTTGTTTATCATGTCGGACTCACTGTGAGTCGAAGAGCCTGATCCTCTCTGTTTTCTTTTTTTGTTTTTCTTGCTTGCCATAAATTAAATGCTTTGCATTTCTTAAACTGAAATAAATAGTCAGTGATTGAATTAACTGTTACTCGCTTTGAAAACGGACCTGAGAGCCCATACTTTACCGAGTGTTAGAACTTATGTCTGTACTCCATGATGCCAGGCCTGCAATCCACACTCAACATATACAGCGGTGGTTCTTGCCTCCTCGCTTTTCTGGAAAATGGCGGCCAACATTGAGTAGGTGATCTTCAATATGCCTCCTCTTGCACCCAGGAGTTTTCTGAGATGCTTTGATAACCCCAACTAGCTCCATGATGAATTCTTTCTTGAAGTGATGAAGGTCATACTTCCTGGACCCCTGGGGTTCATGTTCACGCATATAACCATCCAAAAGAGAGGCATAGTAAGTGCTGATTTCTATGAACTTTATTACCAGGTGCATGTACCACTGCATTTGCCTCTGGCCCTTTCTCACCCATGTTGTCTGGTTGTCTGATGGACAAGCGAAAGAAAATTGACAGCCTTAGTGTCTTGCCAGACAGTGGCAACCAATTCATGGAACTGCCTCCACATAAATTCACCATGGGGAAGTCCCCTGTCTTCAGTTGCAAGCTCAGGGGGTTTGGGTTCACAGTTCCGACAAGATAAAGGTCATGAGTTTTCAATTAAAGAAATAAATAGGGTGAGGAGTAAAAGTTGTCGAGATACAATGCCCTCATCCAAAGTTAACTCTCAATCACAACTTTACTCCCTGCGAAAGTTTGGGTCAAATGTTCAAAAAACGGTCGCTCTTTTCGCTAAACACTTTTCCAAACCCTGGCGTGTGAAACAACCACATTTGTTAATGTTTTCCGAAATAATCTTCATAGCGTGGCTTTTCAACCAAGTCATACATCGTGACGAGAATGTCAAAAAGGTCGTCTTGGAATCAAGTAGCCAATTGCTTAGAAGCCTGTTCCATGGGGAATATAACTGTGGATGCTGACTGACTCCAACAATTCGTACCTGACGAATGTTGAAGTCTACGTTGGAGAAGACAGCAACCCCAGTGAAAGAACCCCCCAAAAAAAGACCGCAGCTGTGGTGGTCCGCCTAACTAGAGAATATCAAGGCAAAGCACTATGCAGCCCAGTATTTTCGTTTTGCTTCTTGGCAGCATTTCGATTCATCCATGTCTTTATATTCTGAAGAATTTCGTCGTCAAGAACTAGGCCGAAAGTCTTGGACGGTTTCTTCCCCGTGTTGTCTCTCGAATGCCCAACACTTGCCGCTTTAAATTCGGAAAAATGACTGCAGTTATTATCAGCTGTTCGTGACCACTGCTGTTGGATTTCAGCCGGGATATTTTGATTAAAATCCTTCGAAATCATTGTCTTCGTTAGAACTCTCGCCGAAAATATAGTCAAAATCAAGGTTAGATTCCCTGGCAGATTCCAAGGCCAATATCTCACAAATTTTTATAGAACAACATGGCGGAATTGGGTCTAATAATATGTCTAATGCAATCTTCCATGTGTTTACTACATTGTGAAATACGTTAACCCCCCTCCAAGACCTTCTTCTTCTATTTTGAGCACAAGCATTACATTAGTATCCCAAAGCCGCTAAAGCGGCTCAGGAGGTGTGGGGCTGGAAACTAGTAAGCTGCAAAATAGGCTTAGGCTATCAGACAAGTTCCTAACTTCTTGAGGATTGTCATTTTGTACACAAGCTGTTTTCCTGAGTCTGTTCAATGTAACTTTCACAACAAGAGGTTTGCCAAATCTAGATTCCAATTCCTTCAGTGCTTCATAGTAAGAATCTCCACTGTAACCATATCCTTCAATTGCAGACTTAGCTCTTCCAATCTCAGAATTCTGAAGATGTTGCATTTTTCCATCAAGGGAAAGATTAGTATCATGAACAATTGATTTAAACATTGAAGACCAATCAGACCATGTAAAGATCATCATCAAACTCGTGTAGGCGTATTTTAGGAAGAGAGTCACGGGTAGAAGGACCAGAAAACGGGGGGTTCTGGTTGTTTGCACTTGTTAAAGCTGATGGTTGTGCTTTTAAGTCTCCAAGTCTTCATGTATTTCAACAGCCAAGTATCTCAGGAATATCTTTTCCTTTGAACCAAACGGTTTTATCTTTTTTTAAGATGAACAGACAAATCCACTTCCAAAAAATAATTTGAGAATTTTGCACAATCAAACTCATATTAATTATAAATTAGATTATTTGTTTAAATGCATATTGAAAAATCTTGAAACTATGATATTTTAATATCTTCATCAACATGATGAATGATGGCTTTTCTTGTATTTGATTACCCAACTCTTTTCCTGTTTAACAACAGTATAGCTCTGACCTTCAAGTAATCAAATTCTTTGCCTTTGACAACATTCATTTAATTGCGATATATTAATCAGGTCTTTCAGCTATTGAAATCGTCATCATGTCCTTTCCACTTCACCAAAGATTGATTCTTCTTATAATCTCTTTTAATGACTCTCTGTCATACATTCTCATGTCATAACTACTACCTCTGTGAAGTGGATCCAGTTTCTTTGACAAATCTGTTCTGAAGCCATCAAGTGCTTGACCAATGTATTTGTCAACCATACCTTTTACCTTTTTCTTGGAAAATTCAGATTTTACTGCCTTTGCTGCTCCCATTCTTCCAAGGTTACTGAGACCTGTTGTTGCTCCTTTGAAAAGCATCTCACTAATGAAATGTGAATTCCCAACATCAAGGAATCCTCTGGTTTGTGCATTGTTCTTCACAAATTTATTCTTTGTTATGCCACATGATGCACAGGTACAGAAAAACATCAACCAACCATTCCTTTGCATTTATATATCCAGAAGGCTCAACACATTCTGTTTGCTTCTTCTCTCTCACACAATAAGATTGCATATACAGCTGTTTCGAGAAAGGTTGTCCAATAGAAGTAATAAGGCTTACACGACAATACCGAAAGGCATTATGGGTTAGGTTTAGATCACTGTGTCATCGTCAAGTTCACGAGTTTTCAGCGCGATGGAAGGCGGGACTATGAATATCTGTCTGCGTGTGTTAAAATAAACAAACAAGAGTAGGTACGACACCTTTTCAGTAAAGGGCGTGTAAACCCAATTGCAATGCTGCGCTGAGTGAAAGTGAAGAAGATGGCGACGAAAAAAGAGTGAGTAGCTATGACGCTTGCTTGTCGAGACTGCGAAAAAAACACAAGCCTCCAGAATTCAAGTTACGATGCTGGGCACGAATGATGGTGTGGAAAATTTAAATTTCCCGCGGATCACTTCCAGTCAGCTGAAGCAAATTTAATCCTCATTATCAGAATACACCATTTTAATTTTGTAAAGTTGTCGAAATATTAACTTTAAAGTCGGAGTTGAAGAAATGTGGCAGCTATTCATATAAATTTTAGACGAACGCACAAAAAATAGCATGAACTGCACGTGGAGTAATGCACGCATTATAGTGCACTGTACTCACTATTTTACGACTTTTGAAGCAAACCTCCATGTATTAATTGCTGCTCATAACGCTTGGAGCTCATTAGAGTTGCAATTAAAATGCAGGTATTGGTGTTGTTGTTTTGTTTCAAGTAAACGGAACCCAGGACGACGAAGAAAACTCTCCGGATGTCCCATTTTTACTGGGAAGGCGAGAGGTTCGGTCAAAAACACCCAACCATCCAGCAATGAGGTCACCGGGGATTTTACGGACATTGAAAAAAAAGGTAGGCATCTCAACATTTATCCTATAGATGGATTTTTTATGTCTGCATGTATTCAGTTTTAATTGATCAGCTGATTTATTTTTGGTTTAGACACGTATCCGTTGTGCCATCCTTCAGCAGTTGAAGGACTTCAAGAGTTTGAAAGACGATGGTGTTCTTGACGAAAACGAATTTTCCTTACAAAAGGAAAAGCTGTTGACAGAACTAAGCTCTTTATAATTGAAGCCAAATTCATGAATTACATGAATAGTGACTGTTGTAAAAAAAGTCATTAAAAAGAAAATACTCTGCATGTCGAATGTAGTTTTTGATTTCTTCATCCGTGACTTGAAGAAATACTTCTTCAACCATAAGTTCTGGATCCATGCAAAATTGCCAGGCTACATCGTTATCCCTGATCCAGCCCTTTACTTATGCAAAAAAGTTCTTCACACGGCATGAAATCAGGACTGTAGGGCGGAAGAAAAAGAACAATCGCTCCCGTTGCATTAATTGCGTCAATCGCTGCTTGCGTGTATCTAAAAGACAAATAAGAAAGGAAGAAATGAATTTATGGAGGCGGGCTATTTACAGCGATTTTTTTAACAGAGAATTTGGACAAGGGTGGAAACAATTATTTTACAACTCCATCAAAATCCTAATATTGCCAAAGATTCTCTTGTACCCATTATGAGTACTGATCGCGAGTTGATTCCATTAAATGGAAGCAAGTTGGGGCATAGCTTTTCATCCACAAAGTCTTTAAATGTTGCTCTATTGACGTTCCCCTGATAAAGGCCAAGATCAATCATTCCTTCTGTACAAAGAATGGGAATGGCGGTTATGCGCAGTCCCCAGTTCTGCGTCATACGTTTCACCTCAGCTCTTTTACCGATCGGGCTACAATCAACCAAACCATTACGTTTAGTCTTTTGTCCTGATAAAATAAAATTAAAAAAAAAAAAACAAAGTGATACCAGTAAACGATCAGGGCTAAATAACAGTAAAACAGAGAACGAAATGTTGTTTAAACAACAAACAAACACATACAAATCTGCTTTCATCCAAGAACATCAATATCTCGGGATCCAGGAGACAAACATTAGACCTAAAAAGTACTCTGTCTGCTTCAGATCTTTGTAGGGCAATTGTTGTCAGCTTTAAAATGAGTGATTATAACCATAATAATAATAATCAAACACGTTTTTTCTTAAATTTACATAAGCAGGGAAAAATCAAAACGTAGCACTGACAAGAAATATTTGACATACCCTTTTTCGGCTAAAACTGTTCCGTTTTAAATACAGCAATATGCTCGAAATAAAACGTTTTGACCCTGTTTGTCCTTAGATATTCTGTGCAATTTCTGAGAGGGTTTTTTCCGGGTGGTAAAGTACCGCTTCCATTATTACAAACTCCACTTGAGGATGCATAAGAAAACTATTTAACGGTCGTCCCAAAGTCTCTGCTTTCACTTCGCTAGAATCTAGGCATTTTGATACGTAGCAAAGAAGGGATAGATAGATAGATAGAAACTTTATTAAAGTGTCAAAAAAACCGTCTAGCTAGGGAACAAATCCCTTACTAATTTGGGGACACCAATTAGGGGAGAATATACAAACTAAAAAAAAAAAAAAAAAAAAAAAAAACAAAAAAAAAAAAAAAAAAAATATACAGTAGTAGGTAAAATATCTATAGTTAACTCATTAAGAGATTTATAGTAAAAATACACAGAAGTCAAAATGAACAAAGGCTACAGCCTGCGCAGCCATCATCTAAAAGTTCACTTATATTGAGTTGGCGTATCTTGCTTTTAAACGACGTTAGGGTTGTGACGTCCCTGATACTCTTGGGTAGTTTTGTCCATAGCCTAGGCCCTAAATATCTAATAGAGTGCTTGCCATAGGTGACTGTCTCATACCTAGGTATTGAGAAATCTGCTTGCCGCAGATTGTAATTACTATTTGGTTCTTTAAAGATGTTACTTATATATGCAGGGCACAGTTTATGCTTTACTTTATACATAAGGATGCACAGATCCTGTAAGAGACTATTTAGTAGTGTTGGCAGATCTGCCTTCTCTAATAGTTGTTCATAACTAGAATTATTATCCTTGAAAACCGCTCTAAAGAAGGAAGCATTCATTGGTTTCTACTCCACGAAATCAACCGAAGGAGAAGTACTGTATGAACTGGTGAAATCCTCTATCACTGAACTCAATCTTGACCTAAAGAACATTGTTGGTAAAGCATTCGATGGGGCTGCTAACATGAACGGTGTACACAAAGGACTCTCGACAAGAATGGAAGAGTGCTCCCCGTTCGGTATCTACGTCCACTGTTACGGGCATGTGCTCAACCTCGCACTTCAGGATACTATGACACGGATTGAACCACTGCGAAACGCTTTGGGGACTATCCAGGCTCTGCACAACTTTTTAGATGCGAGTCCCAAACGACACGCCCTGTTTAGTGACACAGAAGTACAAGGCGAGGATCTGAAACTGACGCTGAAGTCATTGAGTGCCACGCGATGGTCATGCCGGTGGGAAGCCGTAAAAGCCGTATACGGGCAAATGGAACGTATTGGAAATGCCCTGCTCACGCTGTCTGCAGACAAAGCTCCGAAAACCTACTCTGAGAGCAGAGCCTTGTTGACCGCCATTTGTGACTTGGAGTTTATCTTCGGACTGTGTTTGCTGAAAGTAATCCTGAGCAACACCAGTAGTTTGTATCGATATCTTCAGGGGAAGACGGTTGACGTCATCTCCGCTCGTAGAAATGCCGACATGACCATTCAGACCCTACGCCAGTGTCGGAACGAAGAAATTTTCAACAGCGTATGGCAGTTAGCATCAGCAATGGGTCTGAAAATTAAGAAGTGGCTGACCAATTCTGAGTTTGAATTACGAGAGGCCAGGGCACCCAGACAGACGCCATCGCGCCGCCTTCAAGCCCTTGTAGGTGAACACGCACAACGACAAATGCAGCTGACACCGGAATCGCACCACCGTATTAACACCTACTATGCTTCCATCGACAAGGTGCTGTCCGAGCTTGAGCTCAGGTTTAGCGGAAATGAACAGGAAATCCTCTTTGCTTTGGGAAATTTCTGCCACAGTGAAACACCTGATAAAGAAAGCTTCTCCTGCATTGCTAAGTTTTACAACATCGACGGAGAGATTCTGGAAGCCGAGCAGAAAATGTACGCGAGTTTTCGTCATGTGCGCGGATTGCGCTACATGACTGTTTCAGAAATGCTAGAGACAATGCGCGAGAATGATCTATTCGATATTTTTCCAGAGTTTTCTAGTGTGGTGCATATCCTTGCAGTGATACCTGCTACATCGTGTTCAGCAGAGCGATCATTCAGTGCGTTGCGCAGCTTGAAAACTTACCTCCGCGGCACCATGGGGCAACAACGTGTCAGTAACATTGCACTTATCAACATTGAAAGGGCGTATGCCAACTCTGTAGTCAACAATGACATGGATCGTATCATATATATCTTCGGTCGTCGAAATGGCAGAGACAGTTATTTCTTTTAAGTTTTAAAGTTTTTTTTTAGCTCATATGATAGATTCATAGGTAAGAATATTTTCACTTCATATGTAGGCCATTGTTAGTGCATCGTATGACCCTCGTTTCCTTTCGACTGTTTCGTAAAAATTTGGGCAACTTGTGAGAATTTTTTGGGAAAATGGTTCACCGCCCCCCCTGGCAAAAAAATGCCCGTATGCCTATGAGAAACAGATCTGACTGAGCTCATTCTCAAGTAGTAACTGGTAGTCACCACATAGATTTCTTAGCGGACGATAAATTCTAATAATTACCATATTCTTAGTATCCGGCGTAATTTCCAATGCAGTTAATTCCAGTGTCTTGTAGTTCTTGGTGAGTTTAAGTCTTTTCTTAGTAAGTGAGAAAGACACCAAAGTCATAATGCCTCCACCACCTTTTTTCCTGTCATACTGATAACGTGAGCAAATCTTCAGAAACAGCAGAAAAGGATGTTTGGCACAGCAGTGTATCTTGCCAGCCACCAATGTTCGAAAATTGCTTCTCTACGACGTTTTGTGATTTATTGATAACGTTTTCGTCAAGGCAACCGTTGCTAAGGATGGTATTATGATCTTTCTCAAGGAGATCAACTTTAACAGACTTGGTAAGTTCTGTTGAAGTGTTTTTGTCCTCTTCGTCGGCACTAGATTTCAAAGGCATCTCTGCATAAGTGTTCGTGGTTGGGTGTGACTGTACAGGATGATGGTAGATCTTCCGTCTTAGGCTGTTAAATGATGTTTTCAGCTCAGTACCGTCTTCGTTTCGGAGCTCGTAGATACCTTTTGGTAACACCTGCTGATAGTATAGGGGCCTGACCACGCCCGCTCCAGTTTGCCTCCTTTGAATTTTAGTGGCCGGTGCTTTGCATCATACGATTTCTTTTGCTGCTCTTGCGCTTTGTCAATGTTAATGTTCTGCATTGCCTGAGCTTTCACCTGTCGTGAATGTTCATCATCACGCGGACTTGTATTAAACTAGTTTGTAATTAAATTATGTTAATGTTTGTTATTCATTATGTATTTAGTGGTAATGATTACTCAGTAAGTACTCAAGCATGTTTATAAATATAAGTATTCTCATTACCTATTTGTAGGATAGCGTAAGGATATTATGGGGAGAAGTTACTTGTTAATCACTTCTAGGGGTTAGAGGGTTAAAAAATTAATGCAAGTTTTTAAAGAAGTTTGTATTTTAATTACGTTAATGTTTGTTATTCATTAAGCTTTTAGTGGTTATGATTACCCAGCTAGTAATCATACGTATTTATCAATTATGAATTTTGAAAAAAAAAAAATTGCAAAGAAATTTAAACAATGATGACATGTGCACTTTACAATGGTATGCTGAAAGTTATCGTTAGATATATCGTAGAAAGGGAACGTCAAGGGAGGAGAGCATTTGGAACAAGACTCGACCAATTCTTGGAAGTGGGAGGGTGTTAGGGTTAGTATCCTCCTCCTCCGAATGTTAATTAAAATGCTTTTCTCTCGTCCACTTTTCCGCCTCTGAATGTTCATTTTTGTAGCGGTTTTCGGCATAAGTTATGTAACCTTTTTTTTTTCTTCTAACTAAATATAAAGCTTTGTCTCTGAGTTATCTATTGGCTTCCTGACCTTGAAAACTAAACGAAGGATACAGGGATGACGAAGCTTGCATAACTGACACTTTTGTGGGAGTTTTGGGTAACAGAACCGCGCGAATGAGCAGCGAAGTAAAGGAGGGAATGTGAATGAATAAACCACCGCTCGGCCGCATAAATCTCCGTTGAACGACCAAAAAACCTTCAGCTACGCAAGCTACAGACATACAGAAGTCCTTTTCAATTCAGAAGTTATCCTTTCAAACCCCCTTCCCTCTGCCCGCTTCCACCACTCCCCTTCCCCCCCTTCCCTCTGTCCGCCTCCACCAGCCCCCTTTCCCCCCTTCCCCCCCTTGCCTCTGCCCTGATACTGATCTTTCGAGTTGGGTTGTGACTCGAGCTTGGGTAGGCTTTCGAGCTCGAGTCACCGATATTGAGCTCGGTTGCCAGGGGACGGACATTGATTCCGCACAACATATGCTAGGAATGCAAGTGAAAGGTATTCCAAGCCTGAATACAGACACCGATGACTTGTATGACATACTTTCGAGGGTTGCATTAGTTATGCTTACTTAAATATTGCTTATCAGACGGCACATCTGGATTTGTTATTGTTGTTGTTGTCGTGCTAATTTTCGAAAAAAGAACTCGTTTGGTGTTTGGAACCAAAACATTCGATGGAGTTGGCTTATCATGTATTAACTGTTAGTTGAGTTTAACCTTCAGGGAAGCTTCTGATGACATTTGTTGGATTGTAGAATGCCAGACATCTAAACAAGCAATTGTACGAAAAAATATGACTTAATAACCTGTTAAGGATATCGAACAAAGAACAGCCTTTTTTTTATTAGATCAATTGTCAATTACTTTGTGTGCCTAGTTACGATCGTAGTTACAATGTTTATCTTTTCCCTATTGGTTTGTAATCGGATCTTTTAGCGTCACCATGCGCATATAAAAGCTAAGTTAGCGTCCCTATAAGCCAGAGTTTCGCAAGATTTCACCTTGAACAGCAGCAACTTCGTTCTTTCGTTCCGAACCTTTGGCACAAGCGGAACCGATATGTAAGTGATTTTGTTAGTTTTATTTCAATATGTTTAAGTTTAGTTTTTCACCTTGGGCGATAGCGCACATATGTACTGTGTTGTACAACAGTACAACTAATTATCTTGAAATCAAAGGAGTATTTTGAAATAACTAGACGCTCACACAGCAACGCCCACATTTTAGTCTTTGGGCTGTTAATCAGCCGCAAATGGTCATCGTGTAGCCGATCTTTGAATCTCGAGTAGTTTTAATTTAGCCTTTTATGATTTGTTTATGTTAATTCACGTTAATTGTTGTTATTTTAATCGCGTTATAGACATAGCCACGTAAAGCGTTTCTTTCATGCCTTTCGCACCAATTCAAGTAGATTCATGCTTTCGTTATAATATTATTGCAATTTCAGTTTACGATCGTGATCGTGACCGTGATCTAAATAAACACCGTTGATAGTCATCTTGGTTTTCGTGGTTTCATTACGACCGGTAAAATGGTCCCACATCAGCGACACTTAGAAAACACGCATAGCGACACCCCTCGAAGTTTCCTCTTTCGTCGCAAGCGTCACATAACCTCTGACAAGTTGAATTATTTGCTAAAAAGGACCAAATAAACCTGGTTTTTTTGTTTTAGATATTCACATCGTATTGTTGCTAACTGTAATCTGCCTAGACTTTTGATTGAAAATTCAGCTTTATTACTCGGTTATGATTAGCAATGTCAGCTTGTTGAGTGTCATGTTTGTCAACAGATATTTTTTCGGAAAATGAAACTGTGACGTAAACAGTCCAAATAATCCCGGCTTCAGATAAAACAACGTTGATTTACTTATTATCTTGTAGCAAAATTTTAATGTAATTCTTATTAAATCTGTTCAATTAATAAGGAAAAACAATTGAACATTGTTTTTTTTTTTACAGACTACCGATTACTTTATACATGTGCTTTGTCTTGAACACGCGGCAACAACTCTAATGCTGTAGGGAGCCGAAGAACCAGAATGAACTTCCTTAAATGTATAGGCTACATTAAATAGAAAAAAAGTATTTACTTTTAAAAAAATATTGATGATAATAACAATAACAAGATCTATGTGTGAAAAATAGAAATATAACCTACCAACTCAGATGATTAATAAGTCATTGGAAGAAAATATATACCGTTTATATTGTCTTGGCCAAAGACCAAAATTAAATATTCAGTTATGGTAACACAAAACAGCCCTCTCTTACCCCTTTAACTCCCACGAGTGACCAAGACAGAATCTCTCCTTACAATATTGATACAATATCAAGGAGACAAGTAATGAGAATAGACCAAAATTTCAATTAGGGGATTATAAGTTGATCCAATACCAAATTCTCCAAAGGATCGTCAGAAGAATTGCATTGATTTTCAAATGAGATCTTGGGAGTGAAAGGGTTAAATGTGGGAACGGATTCACTTCTCCTAAATAATAACGATAACTTGTTCCATAAGCTTGCAACTTAAAAACGAATACTTAAATAGATTCGTTACCGCAAAGATACTCTTAACACTGAACAGTTTTTTTATTACATAAAAAGCTATGCCTCGTGGCTTATCTCGATTCAAGGATACTACTAGTCTAACTAGAAATCCTGGAATGTAAGGCAACCATGACATGAGAAAGTGGCCCTAATAACCGCTTCATCAATGAAGTAAACGAAAGAGCAGCAACTATCGTCACATCAAAGAATTGGTAAACAGAAAGGGGATCGTTTTTCAGGCTCTCTAAACTGCTGTAAACTGTTATTGAAATGTTCTTGTCTTTGTTTTTCTTTAATGGAGTGGCTTTAATCAGCTCACCAAGCACCTTGATTGCGCGTTAACCTTTTATGAAGCGACTTCTGTCGTTTAAGAATAGGGTGTTGGTCAAAACTGTAGTTTCTGAGTAAATCTGTTTGGATACCGGCAAGCTGCTGCTCCAAGTTACTTTTAAGGACTTCACAAGCTTGGTGACTTGCTTCAAAATATTTACGGGCTTCGTTCTTGCCAGTGTTACTTTTATGCTCGAAATCCAAATGTAGAGAACACTGCTTTTGCAAAGTGACTGCAACTATTGGATGGTCGTCGCCAAAAATATTTCGATAAATATTTTCAGCTGTTTCCAAAGACACCTTTGATCTATTAACCATATTTAGGCCTCTTTCAGCATCACTCATTATCAATGAAAAATCTGCTTTCAAATAATCGCAATACCGCGGGAGATTGTTTAGAGCTGAGCGAATGTCGTCATACGCCTTGCCGTAATTTCCCATAAGTATGCTTAACCGCGCTTTTTCCATCTTTGTTGATGCGATTTGTCGTTTAAATTGAAATGAGTTGCTTAAGATTTCTTCTGTTTGGAGTAAATCCTCGTTTGCCTGTGAAAGTATTCCTTGGACGTCCACCTCGTTCAAAGGCCAGTGGAATTCGTAGCTATCTAAAGCAATTTCGGTTTTCTTCCGGAGAAGTACGGCAAATTCGGGGTGGGACCTAATTTCTTGGCGTATGGGAAAACCAAGTTCTACTTCTCTGAGATATTCTTTAGCCATGTCAAACAAACCTAGCTTTGAGCAAGCGTAAGCCACCCGAACTGCTCCCCTCCGCACCTGAAATAAACAATGCACTAGAATTTTTGCCGCCTACTAATTGATAATTTTTAAACGATAATTTCCATCTTTATGTTGTTACCCCACTAAGAGAAAAGGCATCTAGTTACCTGTTAATCTATCGAAATCAAATGTGGAAACAAATTTCGTCCTTGCTAGTAGAAGCCCTGATAGTTGGGGAAAGGGGTACAAAATACCGAGGTGTTCCCTTCATTACTGTTGAGTTGAAATCTGTTTGCCAACGAGTGGAGAGAAACTAGACACGTGTGTTACGATACAAGTCCTAATCGAATTCTGTGATCAACCTAAATTTGTCTCGAAACACAGCACGGATCTGAAATTTCAAAATCCGCTTACTTGTAGACGTAAGGGTGTGAAGGTAATTTGAAAAAATATCAAACTTTTGGGACCATGTTATGAAGAAGCGGTCATGGAAACAATTTGTGGAATGACGAGTATCATTAAACTTTCCGATTAAATTTTCTGGTGTGTCGCCCCTATGCGTCTGTATGTACTCGTTACCTTCAATAGAGTTCCACTTTGCAGGATATTTGGTAAAAGGTGAAGTCAGGTGTTCGTTTTATTTTGTTTCTCCTTGCTAGGGCTATTTCCATGGTATTTAATCGGAGGCTCTATCTTTAAGAGGAACTGTATTTCTGAATATCTATCATTTTTGTCTTAATATAAGGAGTTTTTATTTTTTTTTAGGGAAACGAATCAATGTCACGAACTTGGAGAACTTGGTTCCCCCATTGTGTGTCAAGGCATTAAATATGTTTAATCCTCGCTCATGTTTTGATTCTGATTTTTAATCGATATTTATTAACAACTATTGTTACACTGGTTTGAAAGCCTAACTTAAAGTCTTGGTTAGAAATTCCTAATGCTACTGCTATGTTCTCTTAATGCCGCGATCGACCTCGGCCAAATGTCTTTGTGATCTTTTAATTATAGGAAATCTGTAAGGTCTCGACATTCTTTTTACGCAATACTGCTTCAGCCAGTCACTTTGAACAAAAATTTTTGCTGGCTTAAATAGATGGATGCGATCTCTTTCATATGATAAGCTAGATTCGACATGCAGGAGGACAGACACATAGATGACCTCACCATTTTCAACATTTTGCTTTCTATCACGTAAAACAAATAGATTCCATATTGCCGTGGGTCTGTACAGTTCATTGAAAGACGTCAAAATGTGGCGAGAACGCCAGTGACACAATCGGCTTCACCTTGTGTGCCACTGTTTCGTTCTTACCACATTATGAACGTCAGCTGTGATCTATTACTGAACAGAAGCACGGCTAAACTGAGCAAGTTATGTGGCGAAAAAATAGCGAAAAAAGAGCTGAAAAAGGTTCCTTTACCCATAACTGGCGGTGAAATTCACGAAAAATCGACAAACTGTTCGATAGGCCTACTATGTATATCGTAAGATAAGTTTACCTATTTAACATACCTAGACTGGAGCAAACATTTTGACTCTTTAACTACAGTATTCCTGAAAAGGGCTCCTTCCAAACAAAAGGAAAATTCACAGGCCACTGTACTTCTACGTATCATAAAAATCTAACTCACCAACTGTGCGGTGTCTTTTGGCTTACCTCTCTATGTTCCATGGTATCTCCATGCGTTTCTTTGTAGATTTGGAGAGCACGGTCTGCTAAATCTGCGCTTCTGACGGTTTCCCCGAGGATTAAGCAGACCTTGCTTAGCCTCTTTAGAGAATTAGCTCTCTCTAAAAGGAAAGAAAACAGCCGTAGCGTTAATACGTCATCTTTGATTTTGGGGTCTAATATGCATTGATCGAAATTATTACAATCGTTGGGGAATCTCTCGCTATCGCAGTGTTTTGCGAGTAAGGAGATCCTGATTTTCATTTGTAACGACTTGCATGTCCTCGGCTTAGCACCTTATCTGGGTAGAATATAATTCTGGTTGAAGGGAAAACTCTCTCCAGTCAATTTTTTAAATGATTGTTAACACAAAAAAGCTGTTGGAGTGACACAGGTCATTATAAAAGAAAAAATGTCTTCTCACTCGTCATCCTAAAATATGAAAGGGGCCCTTAACTCAATCCATTTCTAGGATTCAAGAGTAAGTTTCGAGCCGTTTCTGCAATTGAAAGTAACAATGTCGCTTATTACCTGGGTGAAAGTGAAAGTAATGGTGCATAACCTTTAGAGCGTTTAGTAGCTCTTTCTTGGCTTGTGGAACCATTCCCATCTGTAGGTAGCCATACGATAAATAATTATAGTTGGCGGCCACAATGCGATGGTTACTACCGTGGATTTCCTTGTTGATATCTAACGCCTCTCTAAGACTTCTCACTGCATCGTCTACATCTCCCACATCACTTTGCGCATGTCCGAGATTTAACAGTGCTGTAGCTCTAGCTGTAACGAAAAAAGATCCTCTTGAGTTCAAAACTTCTCAAGGATTAGCGTAGCTAATGTAATGAATAGTTCAACCTCTTCGTTTTATTGATAACAAAACGATAACATTGTGGAGAAGACGATGAGAATTAACAACAACATACCAGGATGACTTTTTGTGCCACATTGTTCATCTGCAATTGTTTTAGCTTTCAACGCAAACTGGACACTTCTTTCAAAATCCCCCTTGTAGCGGTACACCACGCTAAGCTTTGATAAAATAACTGCACTGTAAATGTTGTTGTATCCAAACTTTTTATGTGCCATGTCCAAGGAAGTAATGCTCTCATCTAGTTTGTCCATATTTCTTTGCACAGAGGCCAAACGGCTGAGTGTCACGCCAATCTGAAAGGTAAGGTTTTTAGGTTGAGACCATTTAGTCACTCGGTTTGTTCACGCCAGATAATTGCAGTCAGTTAGACATATCCTTACCGATTATGTTTTAAACAACACTGAATTAGAACAACCCAATGAAAATAAACTATGTGGTTTAAGGTGGCCATTGACTTAACACTCTCAAGATTTTTTTTACTCTTCTCGTTATACTTTTATTACTTAATGCCATTTTATTCTGCTATCACCCAAAGGTTGCGAGTTTCAAAATTTTCTTCGATAGATACTTGCAAAAAATATTGCAAGTTCTCTCGAGATTTCTTCTGCATACAGATTTCTTGCCCTCTAAACAACTGCGGTGAGAAAAATTAGATAAGATAATACTTTTTTACTATAAGCACACTTCAAATTTATTTTAACAAACATGAAAAATGAACTTCCCAATCCTCGTGGAAAACATAATCTAGAGTTCAGTTTGTGGATTACGAATATTGTATGGAATATTCGTGAATTATTTTCTAAAGTTGATAAACAGGTTCTCCATTCTCTTTTTCAATTTAATTGTCCCTATTCATATTGATATCGGAAAGGATCCTCCAACGCTCAATATTTCAAACAAGTTTACCACTGAAAATTAATCGGAATCCGTTGATATGCACATTTGAAAACTAAAGAAAATTAATCGGCAGATACTGTGTCAAAATCGTATTCATCGGTTTTTGGTACACTCAACCACATATTTAGAGGCGGATCCAGAAGTGTTCAATTACGACATACAGGCCATGAAGTAAAGATAGGGAATACGCTCACTTAGTAGTAATTATCGTCTCTGAAAGTCTTCAAACTCCATTTTTCGTGAAGTTTTCCTCATTTCGTTGGGAAGAAAAGAAATAGAGATCCTTTGTACGCGCGCAACAAATCACAGAGCTATATAGGCCAAAACCAATTCCCTGTCTAGGACAAGTTTATTGGTAACATCCCTACAGAGTAACTCTACATCTACCAATTGAAATACAATAAACGGAGGATAACCATAACAGAAAAAGTGATGGTTAAATACCATATATTACATTAATAATAAAAATTGGAAGAAACTGGTTTATTAGTTGAAGAGGTTCAAGTTAGCATGCTCTAACGGCATTAGTTTGGCTAAGTAGGAAGCGCTTAACCTCTGCTAAAAACGCCACGGTTCACTGTGTTTCTAAGACCTCTCAAGAAGAGCTTGTTTAAAAGAGTCAAAGAGGTAGTGTATCTCCTCAGATATTTTGGCGCAACAAATATTTTATAGTTGGCTCTACCTAAAGCCTTAAAGCACTAACTTTTTGCATAAATCTTTAACGCTTGTTGCTGACCAAATCTCAACAGGACTCTCCACAACACGCTTTGGCAGTCATTTGAAGATACGACTTTAAGTAGTCATCCCATTTCCCAAGCTCTAATTCGAGCAAATGCGTCTCAGAAAATAGATCAGTTAAAGAAATGGAGTATTTCAACCTAAAAATTTGCCAGGCAGTATTTTTCTGAAAGTTTTGGTAAAGGCACATAGACTGTGGACAAAGAACTTGAAGGACAAATTCTTCTGTTAAAAGAAACCCAAGTAAAGTATATTAATGTTCTAAAACTGGCAAAACAGATGACGAACCATTTTCAGAATATGGTTCAAAGTCAACGAAGTCTTTGCCGATGCCTTTGCAGATTTAGAGGTAAAACTTCCTGAACTTCAGGATGACTTTAACTACAATGCTGAGTACCAGAGATTACTGGTTAAAAATGGAGAAGTTCTTCTTGGGGCACTTAAGCTTTTTACATCTAACTTGACGAATCTGGTGCAGAAGACCACAGAGGATTCCATCGTGATGGTGAAAGCTTATGAATCTGCCAGAATGGAATATGATGCTTACAGAACAGACCTACAATCCATCCAAGTTGGACCAAGAACAGCAGCGACAGCTGTGAAAGCTGAAGGGGCAAAGTAGAAGTATGACGTCCAAAAAGACAAATTTGATGGACTTCGGGGTGATTTAGTGATCAAACTCTGATTTTTTGAAGAAAACAAGGTATTTTTGCAATTTATGTCTCTTGTGACACACTTACAGTTATAGCGGCGAGATGTTTATTTTTACACCTCCGCGATAGCCTTTACTCAAGCTGACATGAAAAAATTATAGAACTCCCTTTTGAAAACAAGAGCACCGAAGCATTTGTGCGGGGTTTCAGTCGAAACACTTTCAAAATCTGAATTTCCTTGATGATGCCACTTATTTCCATCTGATTACGGTATTTTTTACAGAAATTTCCAATAATCAACAGACGTAACTTTAATTGAAATTTTGGCCATTTAGAATATGGAAAATCCTAAAGAAAGACATTCTATATGATATCTTGTTTTAGCTTTTTAAAACTGATATGGCTATATCTAAGATAGAATGTTAGTCTTGCTTGGGCGGGGGGGTCTTAGGTCAGTGACATAGTTATTTAGAAGATATTTTCGTTATGTTTCATTGATGTGAGCAAACAATTGTTGTGACAAATGCTCTATTCTGAGACTTTTCGTGTAGACACCTTAAACGCTTATTACGTGCAATGCGCCCGCGTAGAAAGTTGGATCAGTTTTGCTGATTCTTTAATCTACTTCCTCTACAAAATGTAAACAATTGTCACTCTTCCAAAATGCAACTACAGCTTACTTTGCTGGAAATAAAGGGGCCCTGGATGACAGTATGAAGGAATTTCATAACAAATACAAGAACAACGATGGCAAGCAGCCATTTAACCTGGAACATTGAAGGCTTACCACCATAACATCAGAATCAAACTGTGAGCATTGTGGCGCTTTTTTATCACATTGCCAGAAAGTTTATATATCGGAAAAATCAGTATTATTATGGAGGGCGAGTGCAGACAACTATCTAGCTTCTCAGATAACATAGCTCGTGTCATGAAAGGGAATAATCCCCATTCACAACAAGTTATGTTGGACTTGCAATTCATCATACGTCTGTAACTCGAGATCCGTTTAGTCTCCTAAAACGTGAAGCTTGAAGACATAATTATCTGGTGTAAAAATGTAGTATTTGAGGTAAATCTAATTTTGTATCCCTGTTGGACAAAAAGTCATAGCGTCTAATAAGACATCCGGAGTGACCTGTGGGCTTCAAGAATGAAATGAAACACCGAGTATTTGCAAGAGTTTCCAGACAGAATTCATCTGCTCCACTGGTTCATAAATGTTATAAGATCCGGAGCATAGCTCCCGCATGATATTATGAATGCTATCTGCAGACATATGGATCAACAAGGTCCAATACCGCACTCTCAAATTAACTGTTAGACTGGAGCCTTATAAGTAATAATGTTCGGGAAGGAAAATTGTGACAAGGCTGAAAACAACTAGAACGTAAATGTAAAATTATCGCTGTGATCTCTAAGTATTACATTACCCTTAGTTCGCTTGGTGATTCCACGGATTCAAAGATTTTGAGAGCCTTTTTTAAGTTCTCCTCTGCTTTACCATACAGACCAAGGTAGCGGTACGAAGATCCCAATGCACTCAGGGTGTAACCATATTCCTGTTTGAAGTTTTCTTTATCGACATAAATCTTCAGGGCTCTTTGGATGAAGTTACTGAGACAAAAGAGAACTTTTTTGATACATGAGAAAGAGTAACCCTCGCATGTTAATCTAAACTTAATCTAATCATCGATGTCAAACCCCTCACAGATCTCCCTCCAGTTTGCTTCGCTCGAGGCCTCAAACTATAAGGCAAGCCAAAGCCGTTCGTAAACTCTTGTGAGAATATATCGAGTTTGCTGCGAATATAATTTTTTTAATAAATTAAGCAGAAGCAATATTTCGCTTCCTGTCTGAACCCTCCAAAGTCTAAAGTATCTTTCTGGCTTTTAAAAGTAAAAAAATGGGAAAATGTTAATTGTAGTTATTAATCAGCCAGTGGTTTTCTTAGTGCCCTGCTTCTCATCACAAGCTATACATTCTACCCACACAATATTTAAACAGGAAGGAGAATAGATTTTCTCAAGAACTGATGAAGGTTTCATTAAAGCTAACTTGGGGTTGATGAACAGGGCGGTCGCTATCAAGAGTGAGTTTCGCTGATTTCTGTTCAAGGAATTTTAGTTTTTTGTGAGTGATGTGTCCAGAGCTGCAATGTCAGAAGGGAATCATCAAACTGGCTTTTTACGGCTTCGAAGAGAAAAAAAGATTTAGGTAACAAGAACATTTATCTGATTTTAAACATTGCTTACATTTTGTTGCCGTTGTCATTTGTTGTCGTTGAAGTTTTGGATAAAAGTGGATCGGAATGTTTCGTCATGATCATTTCATTGTGAACGCGTAAAGATTGTGGATCCGGATGTCCGATTAAACTTTGTGCAACGGTTGACGTTAACTTAGGTAATTTTAACGTAAGTGTTACTTTGTCTAGGACATTCTATGGAGCGCAACACCTCGACTTTTCTGACTTCTTTTTCAAATTTCTCATCATTTTCTCAAAATTAAAGAGCTGCGGGATCTTTTGAAAATGAATTTTGAAAATAACTTACCGAAGGTTATCTCTGGGCTATAATTAACTTTCTTCGATACTTACATAGCTTTAGTATGTATTCCCAGTTCGTTCAACACATTTCCAAGACTTCGTAGAGTCAAAGCAATCTGTGGGTGATCCTCTCCTTTGTAGAACCGCCATTTCTCTTGCAAGGCTATTTCTAAATACATTTCTCCTTCCCACGGGCTCGCGAGGTGACTATAAATTCATAAATTAACCCATGAGACTTCTGACATTTCAAGAATCTGTACCTTTAATTCGAATCCTCAGTTGAAATGCAACTAAAATTCTATACTTGCTATAACGTATCCTTACTGCCTAAGCTTCAACTGATTGTCTCTCTTCTCTTCCTGTGTATATCGCGATCCTCAGCAGATTTACGGACCCTACACTGCGATTTATTCCGGTAATGTCATCGCACTTTTCCTGCCTTAAAATTGGAAATATTGGATTTAAAAAAAAATTAGAAAAAAAAAAAGAAAAAAAGAAACTTCCCTAGAAAGGGAAAGAGCTTCTGTTATGTGTTGGTATATAGCATCGGTATCCTTCACAAGTATCTCCCCAGATTTCAATGGCTAATATTATGCTTTCGTTTTCTTTAACAAAGGTAATCCGAATTGTTATTCTTCGTAGAGATATTATAACAGCGACCTCTTCTGGCCCTTGAGGCTAAGGTTTATTAACGTAAAGAAGTGCAATCGTTAAAAATATTATTTTGTGTATTAGGGTCGAGTTTTTTCTTCATATTGACATGTTCAGCATTGAATAAAACAAAAAATAACCAGCAACAAAATTGGTCAAAAAACATTGAATTACGGTCAGGCATGAATTGATGCTATTTTTAAGCTTTCTCTATCTTTAAGATGCGTCAATTGCCTCTATTTTCGTATCAAAATGAAGTAAACTGGATTCTTAAAATTTAACATGAAAGCAAAACAACGAGCATGTTAAATTTGTGATGTCGATGTTGAAAACTATGCATTATCTAGTTGCGCGTAAAATGTGTGGATTCAACTTATACCTGTTGCTGTGAGCTTCTCCCAGGAAGTGCCACACATTTGCCAGGTCAAGTTGCACATTCTCCTGGCCTTCATAGTTCTTGAAGAGGTCTAGAGCAATCTTTAGGTTCTCCCTTGCTTCTTCAGGCCTTCCAAAGATGAGCAAACCTTCCCCAAGACAGGCATGTCCATTAGCCATGACGAGGGGGTCGAATTCTCCTTCTAGTTTCAACTTGTCCTTGAGCTTTAAGGAAAAAACTTTTTTTTTCAATGTAATTTATGCATTAAATGCATCATTCACTCCCACTCATATGCATTTTTCCTTGTTCACGCAAGGCCACACCTGACTCGATTCAAAGTTAGTTTAGCACAGATGTCCTAGCTGTGCATTTTCTACAATCGTCCCGATCGAATTTTTCAGATATTAATTAGTTAAACTGCTGGCTCACTAGGGGCTGTATTGGCAATTTTGTTTGAACTTTTAAAATTAGGACATCATTACGAGTGGGAGACTACTATTAAGAGGTTTGTACAGCAAAATCCTGCCCTTTATTTCCTTGCAATGTTACACGCCACATTCCTTGAAATACGCGGTTTATTGTGTCATTTGTGGTGTTCTTTACATTTCATTTTCCCGGCAAATGTTCAAAAAAAGGAAGATGGGTTTTCGAAATGTGAATCAGAAAAATCTTAAGAGGCGAGAAAATCTATCAGTTGTAAAGTATTTGATTGGCAAAGTTTTCTAGAAATCCGATTGAAGAATGCCAAATGTACTGAAAAATTCGCTAGAAACCATGAGAACTGGGTGGGTGACAAGAAGTTTATTTCTTAGAGAAGAAGTCTTGCCTTAAATCCATGATGACATTTCTTAATCATTTGGCATCAAACATTTTGGTCTCCAGACTGTTTCCATATTTCAAAAGGTTCATCATCGGACAATACTAAGATTTTTGCCAATACCGCAACCACATATCCAGAGTTCATTGTCTTTTAAGCCTTAGGTTTTGGAAAAAGGGTGTAAAAGGGTGGAAAAAGCGAATTTTGTATTCTTTTTTTTATCTTTCCAAGATCAGATCAGTAGTTAGTCATTACAGGAACAGCTGTTTTAGTGCATACCTTCACAGCTTCTTTCAGATGTGGTAAAACGAAGCGCATCAATTTGAAGTCTATATCCGTGTTGTTTTGTAAAGCATCTTTGCATACCTCGCTCAGACATTTAATCACGTGAGAGACATCGAGACACGACAAAGTAGGAGTGTTTATGTTGCGTGGTTTTTTTGGCCAGAAGCGAAATTTCAATGCGTACGTCCATGTCTTTTCTACGAAAATAAAGAAGGAGAAATAATAAATGAATAAAATTTTCCCACTAAAGGAAATACGATTTATAAACACCAAGAGAAAATAAAGAAGGAGACCGCGTCTTGATTAAGATTTGAAAGTATAATGTCGTCGTCAAAAGGAGTAGAACAATTAGAACGTTAGAACAATAAAGCACTGTAGGGAAATAGAGGGAATGATCTATAATTAGAATCTAAAAATCTATCATGAATAATCTCTATGAGAAGGTTGTGCCCCATTATAATCATTCCACAAATATGAAGTATTTTGGCTAAAGAAAGATCCGGTGATTGCCTTTATTTTCGTATCTGTTCCAAAGTGTCAATGAAGTTAGGAGTTGTTTACTCCAAGGGAACCCTTACTCAAAAAAGCGAAAGGCTATTAATTCTCTGAGATGCAGGCGAGATTAGCAGCTTTCATTGCCCTCTAGGTTAACTTTGCTGAAACATAACGGTATTTATTTACTATACTTCCGTTTTTTCTTTAGATCACAGACTCAGGGTTTTACGGCCATTACTAATGGAACTTAGATTTCCAAGTCATCATTGCATATTCTGTCAGCAGTTGCTTACATTAAATGACAGAGCTAATATTAAATGTTAGCTGGCAACTAACCGGTATCACTTTGGCTTTGCCCACAGAGTATATCTCTGAGCATGGTGTGGTGTCTTGGATGTAAGGTTACCACTTTAATTTCTTCTCTCACGGAGAGATCAACAAATTTTTCGAAATTTGCTTGTTCCAATGGACCTGTAATACCTTTACATAGAATTTCTAGGGGCAAGTAGTTCTCACTAGAGCAGCAGGCCAAGAATTTTAACAGCTAAGGATAAACGAGAGAACCAAAGATGTTAGTGATTAGAACACTGCCGAACTGACATATAGAAGGAAGACCGGTTCAACCATTAATCTAGGTATAATTCTCTAACATCGCAATTCTGAAACTTGGTAGTCTGGCTCTCCGTACGGCAAGATAAACTAAAAATTTTGAGCTTACCTGCGTTTGATTTTCACGTGTTAGTTCCATCATCATGGTAAAATACTCGGGGAATGAAACTCCTTTCGGTGGTACTGGTAAATTTTCAAAATTTAGTTGTCTATTCGTTTCTTCTTGGTATTCCCTCATAAAAGCTCCAAACCTGTTATTGGAACAATTAAAATTACAGATATATAACCTCTAAAATGCTTTATAAAGGGATGGTCTCTGATGAGTTACCGTCTACCGTGAGTTGATCATTCATGATTTTTACTGATTGGTTGATTCATTGGTTAATGATTGATTGTGAAGAGGATTAGAAAGAAACTCTCAAGGTATTCAAATCGAACACTTAGCTTTAGTTTCTTTTAAGGTAAAGGAACTCACTTTGCTATATCCTGGGGAATGAAATGTACCAGATTTGCGAAGCGTTCAGCAACAGTTAAAGGCATACCACTTTTTTTCGCAAGAAATTTGACTGCATCTTCTTTCGTCATTTTACCGATGAACACCTTCGCTAATGGATAGTCATCACCTTCCTCTTGCAGTAACTTAGAATCTTCGGTGGTCATGATCACCAGACCATTTCCAAGGCTTGGATCACCTGGCGACGGCCAAAATTGTTGTTGACTTGACCTATCTTCTTTAGCACCTTCTATCAATAGCACCCAGGAGCCGTGCCGTCTGATGGTCTTCATAACTTCTTCGTAAATTTGTTTCAAAGGTTTGTCGTAGGCATTTTCTTGACATTGATTTTGAAGATTCATGTGGTATTGTCTTCCTTCTGATGTTCTGCTGAAAAGTGATAGTTCCTGATTTGCAGCCTTGGCCTGTTTAGTCAGACCGATTTCTTTGGCAAGGCTACAGAAACTTTCGAGCATCGTTTCTTTATTTGTTGCGTTGATTGTCCACAGGACTGTTGGTCTGTTTCGAAAATTCCATGGTTGGTTCCAAAAGAATCGCGAGCGTACAGGTTTAGTGTAAAGTTGATCCATCAGATTTGCCGCGCAGTGCACTTTACCGTGTCCTGCTGGCCCATGTAAAATCAGGGTCTTCACGCGCGAGGAATTACCATTTTTGCAGAGGCGTTTCAACGTATTCATAACTTCTTTATCTTCTTTTCGCTGATAAAATCCACGACGAAGTGGAATCCTGACAGCATGGACTTTTCTTGGAAATCGGTGTCTGATTAGTTCAACGAATTTGTAACCCTCTTTCAACAGCTGGAGCATCGTCCTCATCTTGTTTTCCTGAAAGTCAAGTTTTATCCAATCTACTTTTTAGTAAAGCAATTCATTCGAGAGCACAGCTAGAGTATAGCTGCTAATGTGATCCCTCTCTACTTTCACCAAATATTATGGTGTACGAATCATTTTCAAAGTGAATCTAATCAAGTTCTCTGCTCCTGCTGAAAGGGTCTCTCTCTTCTTTTAGTTCCTGTTTTGATTTTGTTTTTTGTTCTTCGAGACTTACTTGAACACTCGGCTTGGTATAAACTTAACAAGTATTGTGAAAAAATGAGAATCGAATGTTTTGACCATTGACCCTTTCGTACAGAACAAGACTTATATGGGGTTCCTATAGACTGTTTCCGACACAATGTTCCATTTTTTGGAATGATGCAGGATTGAATCCTTTGTTTTCACAGACAATTAGTTATTTTTCACCCACTTTCCATATTTTTCTCTCGTTGTTTCAATTTTTTTTAGACTGAAATGACCGCCCTGTCTAAATATTTCAGACATTCAATTTGTGACCATGATGTTTTGTAAATAATGTCACAACAGCTAATGAGTTTCATAGATGATGTCACTTCCAATTTTATTTTTGAGCTTTCATTCGGAAAATTTATGGAATCATTTTCTTCACTCAATTACGAGTTTCTTTTGTGTTGTAAAATTCAAAGGGATGCGTAGGTGTAGCGAAAGGAAAACTAGCGTCGGTATTCATGGACGGATTGCATTTACATGCATATCGAAAGAAATAACCGTGATGCAATCGCTCTATATCAGTGTTGGTCAGAACATGAGTTAATTTCAAGTAGGAATTTTCTGTAAATTCCTCGTCGGTAACCTCAATCTTCGTGAATATTTACGGTATACCATTGATGTATTCAACAAACCAATGGCATAAAATGACGTGACGTTGGCCGCTACTCCGACCTTGCTTCCGCTTTGTTTATTTTAAATAAACATCTGTTTTAATAATTAAGATCTAAAAGGCGGAGAAAACTGAAAGGAAACGAATATCGCAGATGGAAATTGAAAGTGATCATTGCGCGGGAAAACCCCGAACGCCTCGTTACCGATCTTATCTTTAATCTGCTGAATTGACCTTAAAGATTATGGTTTTTGAAGAAGATATTCGATTCTTCTTGGTATCCATGTTTTCCGTAAGATGGCGAAGTAGTCCGATGGTATTTAAATTTTTTTCATATATATATTAGACAACATTGCATTCTTGATATCGACCAGGAATCATTATGCAAACTTTTGCACAATATGCAAATTTGGGGCTATTTACCGTGCATATTTCATGTAAGCGGTCGGCGGTAGAAATAGCCGTTCTGTATATTCATATGCACTTCGCACATGGCACTACAGCGGAAAACGAGGTGGAAAAAACGTACAATCACCCTTAAAGCACATGCAAAATATGCAAACGTTTTTGTTGAGGTACGAATATTTTAGTTTAGGTATGGCGTAATAATCCTGATTTCTAGTGATTACGACCCCGCTAAGGTATTGTGCCAACGGAAAGCTCGAGTTCGAAAAACAATTGGAAATTCTAAAATTGTAATAAACACTGCCGACGGCTGAAATATTACATTAATTCCAAGTCGTTACCATGTTTTTAAAGTTGACTCCCAAGTGCTTTGAAATTCCTTGTCAAAAGTTATGGGAACCGATGATCGTTCCTGTAATTCCACTCTTCACATTCGGTGTTTTTAAAAGAATTTGTCTCTAGCCAACAATCCCCTTGTTCTCTGTAAGGCAGACGGGGAACATTTGCTGGTTTGACAAAGTCAGCTAGATCAAAAGTGTGACATAATTACGGAAGCGGGAAAAACCCCATATTGAGTTTCAATTTCGATGTCTGTTCGGTTTCCCTTATTATCAAAGGCCAAACAAATGGGATTTGAATTCTTACACATGAAACCTTCCACGTACGTTTGAAAGATTTGCCATCATGCTTTAAACATTTGGTATACTACGACCAAATTTTTTATGCCTAATGGAAAATTAGGCATAACGATGTTTGTGTTTGATCCGTAACTTTGTAAGTATTTTGTTTAACTTTCATTTTCACTACCTTTCTCTTCTCAATGCGGAAATTGATGAGCATCCAGTAGTTCCTCGTCTAAATTGAAGTTTTTCCTGTTAGATTCAAGGGGAAACCTAAATGAGAAGAGAGAAGATATTGCAAATTGAACAAGCATGAGAAACAGACGGACATTCATGTATTAAGTCCTTGATCAGTCGATCGAAATGTTAAGTTCATTACGTTCATTAAGTTTAGTGAAATATTCAAAAGTACCTTGTTTATTCTTCCCAGTTTCCAGATGTTCATGAGTTTTAACGGAGAAGAAATACCTTACAAACCGTCCACTCACCTTGCCACACTACATCCCTCTTTGAGTAATCAAAGAAACATGTCAAAAGAAACTCATTGTGCACGGAAAGTGAGTATTTACCCAAACTGTTCTCAAGTGACTTTATGACCTCTAATCCGTTCAGATCCTCTTGTTAAATCGAGAATATTCGGAATCGATGAACGCGTCATCACGTCGCTGATCAACAACGCCACACCAGGAATGGACTCTGGGACGTCAATATTGTTATATCTTGTAAAGTATAACTTCATTTGATACCCAAATTAAGTTGATGCGTGAAAGTTTAGCAGAACTACAGAACAAAAATTCACACGGAAATATAGAGGTAACGTAAGCAAAATAGTAACTAAGACTTACCTTAATAATTAATACTGCTTCAAAAAAATTGATGTATGGAGCAAAAAGGATTTAACATTAAAAGAAGGAAAATTAGTTGAGCTTCGTAGTATAAGCAAGCCAATGATCAGATTCCCGCAATGTTTTTTTCTCTTTTTCTCTTCCTCCTTTCTGATGTATTAAAACAGCCACGCTAAAAATAAACTATTTGTTCCATGGCAATAGTGCCGCTGCAATATTAAAAGTAATTAATCGTACACAGAAACGTCATCAAATTAGAGGAATAAGTTCTTAGTATCCTCATGTTGAAATTTTTGGTTATTTGTCACGCACTAGTGCTCAAACCCATGCACTGTAAGTAAATTTAGGAGACGGCGTAATAATACCCTCCTTGATGTTGTGAGTAGCCTCTCTTCCCTTTTTTTTCCTTGAGTTGCGGGAAAATATGGTTTAGTTCTGAAACGTATTGGGTCCCCAACTTGGCAAATGTTATATTGTATTGCTGTGGTGTTCAGGTATCGTCAAGCGTAACTCTATTTTGAGAAATTGATCAGTGGAATTTAGCATCGTCTTAATTGTTATACAAATGAAATGCCTACCGTATTTACTCGTGTATAAGTCGACCTCCCATTTTCAAGGTCAGAAGTTGGATTTTTCATCATTTCTAGTCAAAGAAGTAAAATTCAGACAAATAGAAATTTCCCCAAAAGTTAATCTCTTATTTCTGATAATGTATTGAAAACACCGGGAATTAAAAGAACTGCAGAGCAAAATATAACCGTGCGCTATGAAGTTTATAAGCGCTTGTTTATATCACCACTATTTGAGCATACACGAGCACTTCGATTTACTGGAGAGGTATTTTACCATATTTTGTGAATCACATTGAAAATGAAATCTTCTTGCATTTAACTAACCTTTTTCTCAAAGTTTATTTCGAAAGGAGATTAAGTAGACCGAAAGAACACCAAAGAGCTTCGAAGGATCTTGCGTGGCAAACAAGACGAGACAACGGCACTTGCCAGGCCACAAAGCCACTAAAATCTCTCGAAGAAAACGAAATTTCAGCACCATAAACAGCAGCGAAGTATTCACAAACAATGCTTTTATACGGACAAAAAAACTGTTCATAGTCTGTATTCAATATCTATCATTCGTATCTAATAGAATAAGAAAGAATTCTTTCAAGTGCGACTTTTACGAGCGCAATAACTTCGACATCAATACCACGCTCGCAGTTAAACGACGAATGCATCAAAGCATCAGCGATGCTATCGAAAGGGATTCTGCCCCTTTTTTTTAATATCTATATCTTATATGCTCACCTTAAGACTGGTTTGTCGCTGTTTCGAGAGGTATTCTTAAATTACCTGTGACACGAAATTTTTTTGGGCGTAAATGTTTAGCTTATCATATGTACAAACCAATTCCGGTAGAAGAAAGATTTCAACATACTTAAAACTCGGTTTTCTCGGGCCTTAAAGTCCTCCTATTTTGTCTTAAAAGTGTCCCGTGGACTGGTAACGAATTAGCGGGTGATGACGTAGAAAACTGTGGAAACTCTCCGTTGACACTTACAAATCTCTCACATCTCTAGTAATTTTGCACAGTCAGCGTTGAAGTACTCTCAAAATAATGACTGATAGCGATGTATACTTACCTTCAGCAAGCTCCACCGAGAGTTTTGTTACATCGTACTCAAGTAGTAAAGAAGAAATGGAAGTTGGAAGCCCTACGAAGGAGAACCGCGTGCATCAAACGAAAGTTTCGACGAAGACCGTCAAAGACGGTTTCTCGCGTGCGGTATTCAGGTCAAGATTAGAACAAAAAGCTCCCATTACAGAATGTTTAATTTGCTGCCTATGTGTTTTGTTTTCTATGGCGAAATCTATGTTAAGAATGGTGTAAATTACACTCCAAGTAAAGTTTAAAATTCGTACTTTACTGCTAACGATTCACTTGAACAAATATTTGTAACAAATACCGAATTATGAAATACGAACTTGGGAGACCAAAAAGAGGTACAAATACTATAGAAACGAGAGAAAATACACAAAAAAGAATAGAATACTTCAGTACAAGATCTTTACGGCAACAACGGAAAAAAAACCAACAACTAGCTTACAAGAAAAGAATGCTAACTTTTATACTAATTAAAACCAGAAAAGAAAACAGCAAATGAACTTAAGTAACCAACACTAAACGATTACGTAACACGACGCCGAGAATGGAAAACAACGGATATTTTGAACAACAGCATTGAAACCAAACTAAACACGATGAAAGAACTAG